GCAGAGACCCAAGGATGGCAGGGAGAAGTTATCCTCAGGGAGGTAGTTCACGAGTGGCCAGGCCCGGAGGAGAGACCTCGTGTGAAGAGTCCGTTCTTGGTCTTACTGTCCCAGCAAGTCAGTCTCAATCTACACTCACCGACACTGCTAGGATTCCTATTAAGTCACCTGTCCCCTCTGAGTAGGGAGCTGCTCAGGACCGTCTCACACTGACCAGTGGTATTGGCCATGGCTGCTGAGCTGCACGCACATCTGGTTTCCTTCAGAGGCTGGCCCGGCCCAAGGAGGAAGGGTGTGCTCCAGGAGCGCTCGCCGCTGTACTGCCTCACACCTGCTAGAGCTCAGGGATGCTGGGTACAGAGTTTGAGAGCCCACAGTCCTGGGTACAGGATTTCATTTGTCCTGGTTGGATGCAAGAGGCCTTAGCAGCTGTGAAGTCGCATGGAACAGTTGATTCTTAAACCTGTCATTCATGCATCAAGTGAGAAAAGCCGGACAGCCTTTGCCCAGATTTGGCCCCTAGTCTGGGTTCTCCCTGGTGTGCTCCCTCCCTGCACTATTCCCCCTGGCTCTTACTTGCTCTTCCAAGCCAAACTGAAGGGTCATCTCTTCCAAAAAGTCTTTTGGAACTCCCCCTCCACCCTACTCCCATCCCAGGGGATTTCCACACTCCCTTGGTGCCTCTCTCTATCCTGGCCTCATCAAACAACACAGTCATTGTCTGTTTGCTTCTAGATCGCCCCAGAGATCAGGTAGCTGCTTGGCCTATTTACTGAGGACTAGCTGGGCCTCTCCCTGTGCCTGGGTTTCTTCTTAACACGGTGACTGGTGCCAAGGGCAAGCATCCCAGAAGAGAACAAGAGACAGGAGGAATCTGTATAGTTTTTCTGACCTGAAAATGGAAGTCACATAGCCTCATTTCTACTGTACTCTATTAGTAAAGTAAGAGGCCCACACCTGTCCAGATTCAAGGGAATAAACTCAGGTTCCCACTTGTCACTGGAAGAAGTGACACGTAGGAAAAGCATGTGGTACATACAGAAGCAGAGCTACCCCAGGAAAGCACAATCTGCCACAGTCAGTCACCAGCAACTGCTCGGTGAAGGGCTGGCGAATGGCGGAATGAATGAACGCATCCTGTCCTGCACTCTCCATGTCTCCTCTGTCCTCACACTCCTCAGTCAGGCCCGCACCAGACCCTGACAACCCAAGTGGCAGGTCACAGACCCCCTTGTTCTGGAAGGCCAAGGAGCCGTGGAATCCTTTCCAGCTCCAGAGTTCTCAGTGGTGCTCTGGGTAGTTTGAGAGAACTAGAGGAGCTGGGGTGGGGGGGGGCATGTCCCCTGCTGATCCTCAGACACCATTCCAGGTGGCAGTTCCAGAGAACTAAAACATGAGGAGAAAGTTTCTTTTTAAAGGTTTTCAAGATTTTAGAACTGTTTTCAGTTATTTAATATTTTCAGGAGAAAGGGTGTTATTTGGACTAGTTGATTATATTTTTTGAGTTCCAACTTTCAAACACTTATTATGAGCCTTCCCAGTTTTTCTTACTATAACAGAAAGCGTTGGCTCTGTGCTAAATGCTTTGAAGCACTATTTCTGTAACAGGACAAAAACATTCACGTATGAGCGTACACAGACTCGCTCCACTTGCCAGATGATGATGCAATTCAGCTAATCGGTGGGGAGAGGACAGAAAAGCCCTTTGGTGAGTGGGGATTTTGGAGCAGGTGCAGGTTATGGGAAAACTGCACAGAAGAGGAGGATGACGTTGAGGACCATTGTGGTGAGTGATGGAATGGCTCTCCTGTGATGCTCTTCACGCGATGCAGTGAAGACTGAAGTACTTTTGTCTCTTAGACTGAATTCCCTTAAATGTGACTGCACAGACAGGGCCACAGGGACAGCACAACTTACAAAAGTTGATCTCACTTGATCCTCATAACAAGTTCATGAAATAGAAATTCTCATCATGTCCTTTGTATAGCTGAGAAAATTAAGATACAGAGAGTCTGAATAATACGCTTAACAGAACAGGCTGGGTCAGGACTAGAACCTAAGGCTCTCTGATCTGGAGGCTGATCTCTAAGCCACTCGGTCATGCTACCTCTTAAGTTTTATAGATAATTGGAAGAGCAGAGGCATTTCAGCAGATTGGGGGTCCAGGTATCCTTTCCCAGGTAGGAGTGTGGGGGCAAGAAATCCAAGCAGGTGATTTCCACTCTCTAGATGGAGCCTGGGACTCTGCTTTTCCTTCTCAGAAAGAACACCTTAGATTAATTCAGACTTTCAAAGGTTCCCCTCCGCTCCTGCCAATAATACAATATAAAATGGGCAAAGGATTTTAGTAGACATTTTTCCAATCAAAGATATATGAAATGCCAGCAGGTACATGAACAGATGCTCAACATCACTGTCATTAGGGAGATGTGAATCGAAACCACAATGAGATATCACTTCGCACTTGTTAGAATGGTTAGCAAAAGACAGGAGGTAGCAAGTGCTAGTGAGGATATAGAGGAAAAGAGAGCCCTGGGGCACTGTTGGTGGGATTGTAAATTGGTTTAGTCACTATGGAAAACTGCATGGAGTTCCTTAAAAATTTAAAATAGAACTACTTTACGATCCAGCAATTCTACCCTGGGAATATAGCTGAAAGAAACAAAATCACTGTTAAAAGAGATGTTGGAACCCCTGCGTTCATAGCAGCACTGTTCACAATAGCCTAGACATGGAAACAACCTGTATCCATCAACAGATGAATGGATAACAACTCAACAGTTGTGGTGTAGATACACAATGGAATATAATTCAGTCAGAAAGTGGAAGAAATTCTGCCATTGGCAACGACATGGATGGAACTTCAGGGCATTATGCTGAATGAAATAAATCGGACAGAGAAAGACCATACCGTGTAATCTCACTTACATGTAGAATTCCTAAAAAGGAAAAAACACACATGGGAAAATGATCAGATTTCTGGATACCACAGATGGAGTGTGATGAAGGGGTCACAGATAAAGGTGGTCAAAAGACATGTATTTTCAGTTATATAAATGAGTACTCGGATGTAATCTACAGCATGATGACTTTAGTTGACGTTGCTATATGGTATAATCTGAAAGTTGTTAACAAAGTACAATCATGCATTGTTTAACAGCAGGGATATATTTTGAGAAATGTGTTGTTAGGCAATTTCTTTATTGTGCGAAGTTGTAAGTGTTATCACACAAACCCAGATGGCAGAGCGTCTCGCTATAGTCCATCAAGACCACGTCATCTCTGCTGTCCATTGTTGACCAAAATGCTGTTAAAGCATCCCATCATGGTGGATCTTAAAAGTTCTCACCTCAAAGAAAAAGAACATCTTTACATCTTTTCTTTTTTTTTCCTTTCCTTTCTTTTCTTTCCTTTTCTCTTTGTATCTCTATGAGATAGTAGATGGTAACTAAATTTACTGTGGTCATCATTTCACAATAGGTGTAGGTCAGATTATTATGCTGCATACATCAAACTGATGCAGAACTATACATCGAAAAAAAGAACACTCACCACTCTCTTCCTCTCCACCTGAGTCAGGTTTTGGCCTGCAGCAGGTATGTTTATTTCTGTCCCCTTCATTAGCCATCTTGTGCCTTCTACCCAGATGTCCTTCCTTTGTCTCACCACCAATCTAGCTCCAACTCTCCCCTTAAGGCCCAGCCACCTCTTCCATTAGTCACCTGTGGGCACTTCAGCCCATGCTACATGGAAACAGGCTTCAGTCCCCTAGCCTCCACCTGGCCTGGCACTCTGTGTGTGCACCTGCTCCTTCTCTCGCCTTTGCTCCCTGGAGCAACTGATCAGGCCCAAGAACTTGGTGAGTTTTCACTAAGAACTAGGGACTGAAATGGGAGCAGGAGTAATCTTAGTCTCACAGGGAGCTTTTTAGAAAGTCAAATCTAATAAAACAAATTTCATGATTTCAAATTCAATCTCAGCTGTGCCTGCAATGCCAGCTCTTCCCTTTTATGTTTGCACTGTGGAATCAAAGCCTGGGGAAACTGTAAAATGAACCAGGTTCAGCTACAGCAGGTGCAGCTCTCATCCACCAGTGCCCTCGCACTCTTCTGGGCCAAGACCCTCTCAACAAATTCTCCTTGACTCCCCCCCCACACACACACACAAATATCACTTGTTCTAAGTCATACTCCTGAGGGTACTATTCTCAGTAGTGATCCCCAAGCTCTTTGAACTGCCACTCACACAACACACAATCCTCTCTAAATCTGGACTCATTTCCATCAGTCCTCCCTCATCTCTCTTCACTTCTTGAGTTTAAACAAGTTACTTAACCTCCCTGAGTCACTGCAACTTAGAACAGAGTGATAAGAATGCCTGGCTGAGGAGGCTCAAGAGTTCTGGAATGAATGATCCATGGGGTTGTTTTCATGAATGAATGATCCATGGAAATACAATGAGGAAGGGGAAGAGTATACAGCAAGCACTCAATAAATAGTAGCTCCTATTATAAAGTAGGAGGAAGGACTGAGACAGTGTACTTGGAGTTTTTCTTGCCATTCACAGCCCAAATTCCTTTCTTTCTCTGCATAACCACATCCCTGTCTGATCTAAGCATTATTAATAAACAGTAACAAATAAATGAAATGCAAAACCAAAACCACCATCACCAAGTGACTCCACACATAGGCCAAGGATGGCTCCAGCCACCATGGAGAGAGAGGAGTCCTGTTGCAATCCAGTAAGGGAAACCCAAGATTGCACCCAGGTGAAGGGGCAGGGGGTGAGTCAGACTCCTGTGTGGAGACCCAGGCGCCAGGGCGATGAAGGTGACAGTGTGACATCTGGATGTTCATCGGCATGACTCCAGTGTCAGAAATACCACTCCGGTCCGTACATCTGCAGGTGAGAGGAGAGGAGGCTCGGGAATGTGCCAGACAGAATCTCAAGGACAAAGGAGGGCCCTGGCATCTCTGGTTTCTACCCGTAGAGCCTCATTGTCACCACCACACGAATATGCTCCGCAGGCTCTTCATCGCCTTCCTCACACCCTGGGATCTCCCTGGGGCCAGGTTCTTCTGCTGATAGTGCCCACTGTTCACATTGGGTTCCCCCAGGTGGAAGGCCAGGGGTTGAGGCAGGTCCCAGACTACTGAACTCTGTGGGGACATTGTGGAGTTCTCAGGGAGAGTCCACCACAGTGAGATAAGCCCCAATAGGCAGGAGCTACCACTGATGCTGACCCAGCCAGCACAGGCCTTTTGGAGCCCACTTGACTGAGGGCCACCATCTCCTCTCTCTTGGTCTGTTCACAACCTCCCCGGAGCCATGCATGGGGTACAAGTTATTTGAAACCTCAGTTCCACAGGACATAGGTGTCCAATAAAGTTGTGACCTTGATTTGGCAGGTTTACCAAAGCACAGCAGTCTGGGTACTGCTAACTCTCCTGGCCCACACAGGAGTTTCTCCCAACCCTTCCCCCAGCAACCTGAACCTCAAGCTGGACCTGCACTCAGGCCACTTCTGACTGGGAGGCTCTGCTTCTTCCTACTCACTCAGAGTCTAGCACTTTCCATGGCAACAAAGACTTGGTTTGATTTTTCAGAGGAGATGCAAGGGAGGCCCAGCTAAGTATCAATCCCTGGCCAGCTCTCAGTGAGCCTGTGCCTTCTCTGGGGGTCAACTGGGAAGTTTAGAGGGGCTGGGCCCACCTTAGGTAATAGGTAACGTCAGTTTAGTGGGCTTTGTAGAGAAGATGTACCCCAGCCAGGAAAGTAGTGCCTGTGTCCCTGCCATACTCCTCACACCCCACCACACTCCTCTGTCCAGTGTGGATAGCTGGGGGGCTGCTCTGGGACAATGAGTTTTCAGGTCATTTCCATGAGCCACTGCCCCTGATGGCCCCCAAGTCCTCCCCTCCCTTGGGCCCTGTGGGAGCCAAAAAGAGGGGAGATATCTCTGTCCTTCCAGTTTGGAGAGGCACTGACCCCAGGAATCTTTATTTCTATTTATTGTTGTGACTGGTTGCTTGGTTGTTTTTCTCCATCTACACAAGTAGAGCTAAATCAGCAGAAAGCTGTACAGACAGAAAAGTACACAGAGAGGTAATCGACATCATGGGGTTTTCCCTCCCAATATCCCCTATCTCATCCTTTCCTTTTTTGTCATAATTAGATCCTAAGGTATTTATCATTCTGCCAATCTATGCCTAGCCCCTCTCCCATTGGCTTAACCTTGTATCAGCAGATATTTCCCTTTCATCAAGCTCTCCTGTCAACACCTTTTTTTTTTTTTTTAAGATTTATTTATTTACACGTACAAGAACCAGGGTGTAGGCCAGAGGTGTGGGGAGTGAGAGGATTCACCAGAGTCAGTGAAGAACAGAACAGGCAAACTGACTGAAATACACTGCTGAGGGGAGCAGCGGGGAGACGGGAGAGGTCTGTTGCGCCATGTGGGTTGGTCCATGGCTGGCAGGGGATCGAATTCATGCTGCAGTGGCTGGGGGGAGCTTCACGGCACTGTCTTTAGCTCCTGCACCACCAGGAAGGCCCTCAACACCATTTTAGAGGCTGCATAGCCTTCCTAGATGGAGCCAAACCATGGTGGACATGCTCCCTGAGTGTCAGCCCTGTCTGTTGGCTTGATGTGTGTTATTGCAAAAGTAATGACATAAAAAGCTCAGCCTGCATTCCAAAATATTTCCTTGGGAGAAATCCCTACAAGTGGCATTGTGGGTAAGTGAAGGAACATCTTTAGGGTTCTTGGTCTCTGTTGCCCAATGGCCATCGGAGGGCTGAACCAGTTTATACTTGATAAAGAGACTTCAACAGACTGTGTGCAATGCCCATGACAGGACCCTTCATTATGACCTTGCTGCCACTATCTTGCCACCACTATCAATTCTGGGATTGCTAAACACCAAATAGCCTCCTCCTCCCCTATCCCCAAAGGCCACCATCGCCACAAAATAAAACACTTTAGACATCTTTGGAAAGAGCTGAAGGCCCAAGAGATAAGAAGACCAGGTTTGGTGCCTCCCTGGTGGCGCAGGCGGTTGAGCACAGAGCTGTGAAGCTGTCTACAGCCTCTGCAGCACGGGTTTGATCCCGGCCAGCCGGGGAGGTACCCACATGGCGCGGCAGACCTCTCCTGTCTCGGCCGTTGCTCCCCTCAGCAGTGTATTTCAGTCGATCTGCCTGTTCTGTTCCCTGCTCTGTCTTTAGTGAATTCTCTCACCCTCCCACACATCTGGCCTGTACCCTGGTTCTTGTATGCACGAATAAATAAATCTTAAAAAAAAAAAAAAAAAAGAAGACCAGGTTTGGAACCTCCCTGTTGTCATCAGGTGAACGCAGGCTTGGGGTCTTCATTGGTCAAGGAGGACACTTGAACTGGAGAGACTCCAAGTTCCCCTCCTCCATTGCCCAGGACATCTGGCAACATAAGAATTAGGGTCTGGATGGGACTATCAAGTTGTCTTAGCTCATATCCCAGCTTTGCCACTGGTCAGCAAAGTGACGTTGGGCAAGTTATTTATCTGGCGTAAGCCTCAATCCTATAATTTGTAAAATGGGAATGGAGGAAATTAAATGACATATCAAATGATCACAATGACCAAATGCAATTATATATTGATAAGTGTAAAACAATGCATGGCACAAATAAATACCACTTAAAATGGTTGATACTATCACACTGATGGTGCTGTGGATGGCAAATATCAGCGCAACTGGAGGGGCCTCTAAAGTTGGTACAAACAGTCGGAGGAGAGAGAAAATGCCCCAGCTCCCAGTGCTTGAGCTATGAGGCAGCTGCCCACCACCTCTGTCTGACCCAGGCTGTGACTGGCACTTGGTTGCCGCCTGGCCAGAATCTGGCTGTGCAGCGTCCTCAGGCAGGCCGCTCTGAAACACAACGCTTCCCTGGGAGGGGAGTTGAAGGCCACTACACCAGGTGGTTATCAAACCCCAGGCCGACACAGAGGCTTGAAACATAATCTCCAGGATGAGATTGTCTGAACTTACTCGCTGGGGAACAAGGACACTGGACTCTGATAAGCCTGTGCGATCGCCAAGAGGAATTGTACCTGGGGCCCGTGCTGACTCATCCCGCAGACATTTCCTCTGGGCTTTGGTAAGCCAGAAGCCAGATGCGTAGGTCTGAGTATGAGAGGATGGCCCGGAGACCAGGACATAACCCTCCCCCTGAGCGGAGATTGGAGAGAAAGAGCCATGATGAAAAAATGTGTTTTGTTGCCATCCCATCCCGGCATGTAGATGCCACTGGGTCAAGCCAGGACCTTCCAGGATGAGAGGAAGGGGGCCTGGCTCAAGTCAATGGGGGTCGTTTTTACCCTAGTCACTTTTGCTCAGCAGCAACAGGAACCCTTGATTCCGGGACAGGATGTCTTCATGGGGACAACTTGGTAGGGGAAACTATTGGCATTTTTCACACCTCAGCCAGAAACTGATGTTGAGAATGGTCAAAAACTAGGGACCAGGCCAGCAGTGAATTTAAGTTTCCTACCTCTCATCCTGAGAAGGGCTCATAGTCATCAACAGTCAGGTACAAAGAGGCTAAGAACCCCTGAACTAATTATTGATGTGGTGAACAAATTTACCTACAGAAATCAAATGAAATGGTTCTATGTAATAGCAATTCAGTCTCTCATCGCAAATAAGCACACTGTTTTTTGGTAGGGAGCACCGGGAAGTAGCTGCTAAAAGGTATTTCTCTTCTGATGGCTTTGAAATTCAACATTCAGGCAAAGATTACTAATGTTTACATCCCAGAATCCTGCGACTTACCTGGAATCCACTCCTCTGTCTTTCCAATCCGAGCCCTAATTTTGTTCAGGCATCATCTCCTTTCTGCTGGCACCCCAATAGTTGCCAATTATTACCAAGTTCCTGGTTCCCCAAACACATAGCAAGGCACACCAAGGAGCTTCAGTGTGTTCACTGTCACAAGTAGTGAGATTTAACTATTTCCAGGGAACACAATGATATTCACCAGAATCAGCTCAAGGTACTAAATAGTTTCCACTTTACTAACACCATTTCTTCATAAAGCCAGGTTTTCAGTGGTTGCTGTACTGGTGCAAACATCAGTGTAAATAGGAAATAAGGATGGTGGGGGCCAGCATCATTCCTAGGTTTAAAAGTTGGGGAGTGTGCAACAGGCATATCCATCCTATTAGTAAACGGGATAATGGTGATTTATTAAAGATACACATTTTGTTTCTTCAATTTATATGTATCTTTTTTTTTCAAATGGCTATTAAGCTATTAGGACATAAATGCTTACTAATTTGTTTTTTATATACATATTAATTTTTTATTTTTTACATCATTGTTCATTTTTAAACAATATTTGCTTCCCCCACCCCGTCAGGTGTAGTCCCCATAGAGTTTCCTTCACCAATGCACCCATAATGCTTACTAATTTGTACCAAATTAACTAATAAGGAGAATTGTTAAATATTCCCTTGGGCCTAGTATGTTGTGTAAAATCACAGAGGCATGTAGGGTGGTATGACTCAGCATGGTTGAAAACCTCTGCCCTAAGTGAAAACGAACAGGGCGTTTATTTCCCTGGTACCCTGTACATGGTTCAGAGTGAGCCACTGTCAGGGCACAAGTGCCATGGTCAGAGCACTGATTCTCACTCTTTTGTTGGCAAGAACAGAGTGGCACGCAGACCCAAGTGCTGCTGGTGGCCAGCTTGTGATCATGGAAAGCTTCCCTAAAGGGGAGACACCTACGTGAAAAATCACAAAGGACATGGAAGAGTCAGACTAGCACATGGGGGAAGGGCACTGCAGGAAGAGGGACAAGTGCAGCAAGGTTCTGAGATGGTAGCTGAATGAACAGAAAGAGTCCAGGCTAGATCTGCCAGATTAAGTGGCTTAGTGGCACACGAGCGTACATGCATGTGCATGCACACACAATACATTTATATTTCAGGTAGACAACAACTATTTCTTTGGTGTAAGTATGTCCCAGACATTGCATGAGATATACTTACATCAAAAAAGTTTACTTGAAGTCCAAATTTAACTGGGTATCCTGTATTTTAATTCAGCAACTCTATTCCAGGCTCTGCTGACCACAGCAGAGCAAGCAAGAGGAAAATAGTCCAAGAAAGTTCAGGATG